GATCTAACAAGGAGGAAACCAAGCAAATCGTTCTGTCATGTTTACCTAAAGCTCAACTGACTAACATCTCGCACAATTAATTTCACAGTTCACACCCGACGTGCTTTGGGCAGCAGAAGCAGCTGGTTCAAATGCAAAGTCTATGGTTGACGCGCATCAAGGTGCGTCAAAAGGTCCTGCAGCGAGTCGCACGCAGCAGGAGGGACGCATCCAAGCAGCGCCTCATCAATATCTGAGCATTTGAGGCGCATATAACGCTTCACGAGGAGCAGATGCTGCAGGTGGAAAATTTTAACTTTTGCTGCTCGATGTGCCACATCAGCCAATCAGAGAAGCTGATCTGGGAGCTGGCAGGGAGACGGACACAGTGCTGCTGATGCAGGTAACTATGATCACTTCTCTGAAACAGTTTATTAACGCTTAAATTGACTTAAAATGGCAAAACCTGCCGGCATGTGTGATTTTATTATTCTGACGCTAGCATCTTCTTACAGTCGCCACAAAAACTCCTGAGAGGCGAACCAGCCTGAGGCAGCTGCTCGGGATTCCCAGTGACAGCGCACCGCCGGTATGTGGGGATCTGAGCGGCTATGACAGCAAATAATATTTGATAACACTAGAATAATAAAAGCGAACATATTTAGCAGGCAGGTTTCACCATTTTAAGTTAATTTAGGAATTAATAAACAATTTCAGTGGAGTGATAATAGGGCTCTGCATCAGGAGCGCTGTGTCAGTCTCCCTGCCAGCTCCCAGATCAGCTTCTCTGATTGGTTGATTTGGTGCATTGAGCAACAGAAATTCAATTTTTGCCAACTCCAGCATCTGCTGCTTGTGAAATTTTGAACATTTGAGCAAAGTTTTCTTGGGAAAAAGAGGAAGTACAATTTGTCATTATTTTAGTAAAGGGCGTGCAATGTATGGCCGTACGCATTGCTAGCTAAAAGCCTTGTAATCATGATCATCTCTAGATTTTCTCTTAAATCCCCCAAATAAAGAAACCTATTGGAGCATGAATGTGTTTCAAGGTGATTTTAAAAATGTTTACTTAAATTAAGCTCATTGCCCTATGCCATTAGGAGGCAGGGAAGCGTTGCCAGTGTTTTGGGGGTTATAAGTCACCTTGCTGAGAGGCAGCAGTGAGGCTCAGGGACTCCAGAGCGTCCTCCAGTTCTTTAACCTGAATCCTCAGCCTCTCTCCTTTATCTGGCAGGGCCGCCACATTCACAGCAGACAGAGTGGCCTAGTGAGGAGAAAAGATTAACACAGAAAAACCTTAAGCAGCATAAAATGTCCAGATAAAAACTGACTATTTATCAGAATCTCATAACAAGTTGGAATATTCTAAAATCCAAACATAATGGTTATTTAAACCTCAACTGAGGTTATTTAGAACAGATTTACTTTTAAAGTGTGTGAGAACTAAAGAAAGCAACCTTTAGAAGAGAAAAGAAATGATTTCTGTGCACTAGTATTTGCATCAGACTGCAGCACAGCCTGAATGTTCATTTAACACCAACCTTCTTCTGCTGGAGCTGCGCACTCAGGAGGCGCTGCATCCCTTTAGGATCAGCGGCAGCCGGCTGAAACCCAGGGAAGCTGGTGATGGTCTTTTGGACAGCAGAAGCCGGAGGAGTCTTCTGAGATGCCGGTTTCACTGAAACCGGCACCACATCATCGTCCTCATCTTGACGGGCTTCTGTTTTATGGGGTTTGACGGCAGCCGGGACGGCTTCTCTGGAAGCTTTGCTGCTATTGGGTGCAGACCCTGCATTCTCTGCTACAGGTTCAACCTGACTCACTGAGCGGCTTTCGTCTTCTTTCTGTGGTTTGTTTCTCTGGAGATCTGGGCCAGTTTGACTGATCTTCTGAGATCGATTGACATCGACGGTAATTTCAGGAGTAGAAATTGTTTTTTCTTCTTTTAACTCCTCGGCTGAATCTTTCTCACTGCTGCCTCGTATCCTCTCTGCTGCTTTATCATCGCCCTCAGCTTTGGAGTTGCTGCTTTCCTCGCTTGAAACCCTCTTCTTCAGCTTCAATCCAGGGGGAAGCAGTTTACCTCGATATGTTTCAGATGAGCCGGAAGCCTCCACATTTTCCTTATGGGAACCTTGTTTTCCTTCAGCATTATGAATCTCTGTAACAGTTTTCTTCTCTCCATCTTTCCCTTCACGCCCGACACTCTGACTGTTTCTCCAGTCTGAGGTTTTTTCCGTCATGCCGGGAGCCTTAAAAGGATTTCTGACGTGTGGAATACAAGAGGGCTGCAGCTGGGAGTCGGTTAGAGGGCTTCTTCTATCTTTTTCTGCCTAAAACATTTAAATAAAACATAAAACCAGCACACAGATACATTAATATTGAGGTATTATAAGGAAAATGAAATTCAATTATCGTAGCACATATTGTGTATATTTAGAGAAACAAAAAGGTAATTTCAAAACAAAAATCTGTCCAGCGTAACCTAACAAAGTGACGTCAAAGACACTGATTACATATAGATAAGGGAATAATGCAGCTGTCCTTACAGCAGTCCAAGGCACATTTCCACACCATCTCTGCCCTGTCCTTTTTCCAACAGCACATCTGTAGTACAGTCTGGAACAAATGAGCCATAAGTATAATGTAAGAATGTTAATTTAAAGAGTTGGTCATCATTATTTATTAATAATGACTATTTTCCATAACTCCAGCCTCCTCACCGGTGGCTCTGCTGCTGTTGACTGAAGCTGATGGCCTGGAGCTCCACCACTGAATCTTCGTGACACAGACAGTGCGATGGCGGGACACTGGAGCAGGCAGCGGGGAGAATAAAGATTAAAACCAGCAGAATATGACAATTTAATCCAAATACGACAAAATAACCAATATTGCCAGCGGAACGTTTTATAAAAAACAAATAGTGACTTTAACGTTAAATAATTTTTTTTTAAAAACCTCTTACAGTGATAAAAAAAAAAAAAAATCAAACTTCAAGATTTAATAGCTTGAAGGGCTAAGTTTATTTAGAATACGTTTTTTTGTTTGTTTTGGTTTTTATTTCCTGTAGGTCTTTATCAGTTCTGAGTATTGTTGGGGACATATTTGATCGTGTTCCTTATGGCCGGAAAATGTAGCCCTATATAAGCCTTATATATCAGTTGATATCTATTGTATTAGGGCTGTAAAAAAAAGCTCTGTTTATGAAGATTTAATTTTTGAAAAATCTGGATTTTTGTTTTCATCAATGCACTTCTTGGGTTTCCGTAGATCTGAGTTACATCAGTGCATCATTTTTTGTTCACCAATAACAGATTTCACTAGCAGACTGTGTAACACCACTAGCTGCTAACATTTTGTTTGTTATAATTTCATTGTGTTTTTGTGTGTTTAGCAAGCATTTTAACAGCTTGAATCTTGTTGCCCTTTAAATTGAAGTAAACTTCCAAAGTCATTGTCATTTTTTTTATGAAACATAAGGGAGGGGAAAAAACTATTAATCAGATTAGGTAGGAAAAATAATCAGAGATTTTATATTTTTAAGCAGTACTACTCTAATTAGTGAATTGTTTACCTATTTAGTACAAGAATTAGAAGAGTTATTTTCAACAATAAAGCTAAACTCTTATCCAGAACCACTTGGTATTCTTGGGGATGTAGGCAGAGGAGATGATTAAGCCTCTCTAAAGTATTTCTAAAGGTCCAATTTTCCACCTAAAAAGGGTCAGGCTTCCTTTTAGCATTGCTTATTGACCTAAATGATTAATTTTAACCTGCTTTCAGCTGTTCTTAAACATATTCTGCCTTCATCATTGCAAAACACACAAATCAAGTGAAGGAAGAACAAGCCCACAGCATCCTACCACCAACACCACACATTACTGACATATTTGTGTTTATCTGCTGTATTTACCTTTAGTAAAAGATGGTGCTGTACATTATGGCTGAATTTATGTTGGGGATCATTATAGTGCACTTATACCAACTCCATTGTTAATAAAAAAAACAAACAAACATCCTTTCCCCCAGAGGTTTGCAATATTGCTCTTTTTTAAAGCTGCTTTAAATTTATGCCTAACAGACCATTTCGATCCTGAAATGTTGAATAGCACATCCTCCTGATGAACTTGATAACATACCTGGCCTGCTGAGTGAAATCACAGCCCTGCTTGTCAATGCAAATGTAAAAGCTCTTGCCCTTATTTGGCCCATCTCTCACGCCGGTTTTTAACATACATACGGTGCCTGTGAAAGGACAAAAAGTTCTTATTTAAAAAAAGAAAGAATAAATAATTTACAGAGAATTGAACTGCCTCGTTGGAGATAAATAAGCATTTTTTTATTTTATAAAACAGAGAAAGGAAATCAATCCACCTTGTGATGCATTTAAACTAACGATGGGTTTTCCAAGAGGTAAAAACACCCAGTCCTCAAGCGTAAAGTAGGTTATGTGTGTTGTTTAGCAACGTATAATACGAATTTTTATAAAAGCTTACCGTGAACGTCACATTTAACTTTGTCCATCGCTTCCCAAGCACTTTTATTCACTTTCTATACAAGCTACAACGTCTCACTCGTTCGGTATTTTATATTGACCAATCACAGCACGCAGAGATCACTTCCGGTTTAGGACTTGTGATGTAAAAGCTCGCCTCCTAGTTTGATGCTTAAATTTTTTCCGAATCAATTCCTAAAACTTGTTTTATATTTTTTTATTATATAAATGGAAAACATTTAACTAGCATCTTCGAGTCTAAAGATATTACAGAAAATATATTCATAAAAATCTTTATTTTGAAATGTTACAATTTTGACCGTTGGCTAAACCGGATGTTTAAATTTTGCCTTTAATGCCACATATTTTTCACAGATTTTTTTTAGGCTGAAAGTGTAATAAAATACTGCAGTTTATTAGTTTGTTTTATTTATTTATTTTTAATCACAAATATTTTAAAAAGTGGAAAAGGCATCAAACAGACGACGCATGAACTGCGTTACCCATAATGCATCAGTAATCATCCGCTCTCGCGGGCTTTGTTTTGATAATGGCGGCATGGTTCAAAAATCGTTTTATTTATGCCAATTTTACGGATGTCAAACTTATTTTATGAGCATAGCAGGTAAATAAATGTTGTTTTTGCACAATTACGGATTCCTTCAATGCAAGTGTTTTTGTCATTAATGTAAAAAACGTTGAAAACCGTTTAATCTGGGGTTAAATATTATACCAGCGAGGGTAAACATGCCTTTTAACTGCTACGTCATTATACAAAATGTTCACTGTTCGTTTTGTGGGCAGTTAACAGCACCAAATCGAAGTTTGTCGCCGTTAAATTCACTTTTGTTATCTATCAGTAAGATTTATAGCCTTTATTTTTAAACCTGGTACCGTCGGGGCTCGTCGTGTTTATGCAGAAATGAACCATGTTGATTTGTTTTAATCTGGAAATTGCTTTAACATACAGTGTGTTTTAGACGTTGCTCATTCTTGATCAAATTAACCCTTAACCTGTTACCGTAATCTGTTTGCCAAATCCCGGATTAGCACACCCTCCCTGAAGCGCCTTGGTCAACATGTCATCGCCGTCACTTCAGTGCTCCTCTGTGGACTTCCTAACCAAGTGGATGCCGAGCAGCACCAGAGCCGGAGTGATCCTCGCTCCATCCCCGGATTTAGCAGGGTCCTTGCGGCATATGACTGCAGCGGTGTCCGCCCCTCTGCACCCAGACGACTCTTTCTCCTCTGATTTCGCCCCGCTGCCTGCCTCCACAGATAGCAGCTTCCTGGATGCGGATGGATGTGTTGGTGGAACCAAACCGGTGAACAATCAGTATCCTCCAGCACTGGATACCTCAGATGGACAGGTCCAGAATTTGGAGCAGATGGCCAGCAAAACCCAGGATCTACCCCTGATGATGAAGCTGGAAGAGGTAGGGAGGGATGGTTTCTATTCATGTTTCCTCTGTGACAGGAAACATCCAGGTTCCTATGTGGGAATGACATTAAAACATATATATTTTTATATTTGATTCTTGAAAACCTTAGAATTTACATCTAAAAATAAATTCTCACACCTAAACAGCTGTTACACATTAATTATAAAAAAGCCTTGGATTATAATGAGAACCAAACACACTTGCATCAAATTCGATTAAATCCACCACCATGCAATATGAGGATTTTTGATCCATCATAAATCCACACCTACAGTTAAATGCAAATATCTCTATTGCAAAAAAGTTCAGGATTAGCTAAATCTAACCAACCAATCCAGGATTACAACACTGTGTACACACTGTGGGTGTTTCAAAACAGCATAGATGAGGGAGATAGAAAAACAAACAAAAATAATCCTAAAACTCTTGTTATATTTTGTTTTATTACATAAATGGAAAATATTTAATTAGCATCTCCAAGTGTAACGATATTACAGATAATATGTCCATGAAAATTTAGATTTTGGAATGTTGCATTTTTGACCGTTGGCTAAACCGGATGTGTAAACAAAATAGTGAAACTGGACGCTTACAGAAAAACAGAATCAGTAAAATTGAACTGAAGTGATGCAGGATCTCATTGGAATTAAAGTCAACGCAGTGACAGTAACATAAGAATAGCCTCAGGACCAAAGGGATAATACCCATGCACTGCTTTTACATCCCCTGCTATTTTAAGCATCTCACCCTCAAGGGGCTTAAAATACGAAGGTGTTGTTGTTTGAAGTAAGTAGGAGCTGGATTTAGTGGAAGCATGAGTTAATTTGTTTGTAATCAAACATATCTTGTTAAGTTCCCTTAAAACAAACTAATTCTGTAGGAAATAGGCCTGTGTGATCAGTTTCAGTTTCTATTGGTGTAATAATCCAACTCCTATTAGAGCACCTTTACTCTTTGGAACTTCATACATAGACTTTAACAAAAATGTTTTTCACCTTTTAGCTTTATGGAGTAAAACAAACATAACAAGGTTGATAATTAGTGCTATCTACTCCTGCAGAGAAGGCAGCTTATTAACCAACATGTTTCTCTTAAGTAGCCAAACGTGGTTTGCAGCATTAGGTAGGGCAGGGGCAGTGCTACACAAAGCCAGAGAGATGTGAACTCAGATTTTTTCCCCCTGTAGCATCTCTTTAAAAGGATTTAAATTGGATGGTGGAAAACATTTTTTAAAATATATATGTTCACATTGATTCTCTAACTTGCCTGTTTATGGTTTGTTGTGTGAATAAAACATGCATTTCTGTAGTTGAGGAAATGGCAGCAGCAGATGCATGAGCAGCTGAAAGCACAACAGCTGGAGGAGCTGCTGTGTCTGCAGGAGGAGCAGCAGAAGCTACTAGGGATTGTGAATGTGTCTCAGATCTGCACAGGTTAGTAAAAGAAGCTTCTAGAATTTATTATTTTGTTTATTTAGCTAAAATAGAAAATATTAATACATCTTCCATTTTTATTCCATTTAACAGAAGGATCAGGGCTGCCAGGAGCACAATGGCAAAGAAACGCTGTCCAGCACAGCCCTGAAAGGAGCTGTGTTGAGGTGGAACATGGACTCTGTGAGCTGCATCTCACACCAACAAGAAGCCAGGAGCAGCTTTTTGGACGTAAGGAACATGAGGACGAGGAAAACAACAGTGAGGGTGAGATTTATTATGTGTGGTTTGAGAGAAGCAAATTGAAATGCTTTTTTTTGTAAATAAATAATGCAAATGGATTTTCCACTAATACCTGCAGACTCCTGTGAAGAGAATCTGAAACAGAACGTGGACCATGTTAATATTTCTGAGCCAGGCAGTGCAACGATGCAACGTGAAGCCAACACCAGTCTGGACAGGTGAATAACCCCACATTATAGAATACAGCCCCATAACGTACCGATGTAATGAATACGAACTTTAAAATCTAGAAAAATGTGACTACATCCAAATTTTGTAATGACTGCCTCAAAATGTAATGTTTTCCAAGGTTGCATCGCGTAATATTCTTACTAAATTTGCTTAGGCTTTAAGAAGAGCATGGCAGCTTTTCCTAAACAGTGAGTCTCTACAAAAAGATTTGGGAATTATCCTTTAATATAACAAAAAACTTATCTGCAATTATCGAGGTAATTTTGTTCCATTATTGTAAAAAAGTGGTTTCTTAATTAAAATTTGAAAAATTCAATCTAGAAATGAAACTTTGAAAAACATCTTAATAAAAAAAAGTTTTAAGAGTAACTATTCTGTTATTTTTAGATTTTACTTTCTAAAAACATTACTTACCGTACTTATTTATTTATTTTCAATTTTTAATGTTTTAAACTTAGTTTCTTTAATAGATTTTAGATTTTCTCCTTTTATTTGATCAGATTGTGTTTTGCAGTCTTTTTACAAAACGGTTTAAGTTGTTCATGCATTCATAAAAGCAATAGGGCTTCTTCCTTACTCATTAAAAAAAACAAAACATGAGAAAGCAGCTAAATAACCGCAGTTTAGCTTCTTTTTTTAACAGTATTTGGAAGATTGAAATGCTTAGGGTCCAAAACACATATATTACATGTATATTTATTAGGATGAACACAAAATCTAGTTGATTAATTAGTAAATACTGTGCTGCACTATCATTTTTAACAAAGAGGAGGCGCCACTTTAAATAATAACATTGCTAAGATAATGCTGCAAAAAAATATAACAAATATAGGTCAAGTGAATTTATAACACTTTGAGGTACGGTAAATATTACTAAATGTCTCTGTAGTTTTGCTTTACTACATTTTTTAGTTCTGATTGTATCACATTATTATGTAATGCAGCATTACACAGTCTTTTATTTTATTAAATATTGAAAGGACAGGAAGTAGCAAGTAGATTTCTAACAATCAATCAGACAAACAATCAGTTCTACATGTCTTTTCTCTAGGCCGATAAAACCAGGCATCGGGGGACAGAAGAAAACCTTTGAGGAGCTTCTGGAAGAGCAACTGAGGCTGGAGGAGCAGAGACTGAAGTCTGCCCGGCAACAAGCTGTAAGAAAACACCTATCTGAAGATTATGTTGTAAATAGAAAAATTCACAAGGTTAAAACTGAAGCCATTTCCAGATTTTATTTCACTGTCATTGTCAACTTTGCTTGTTTAAATGATGCCGTTATTTTTATATTTGTAGAATCCAACCAGAGCTGAAGCTTCGGTCCGCACCAAGAGGCCCTTTTTGAAGCGGGGCCAGGGCCTTTCCAGGTTCACCAACAATTCAAAAATTTCATCACAGAAGGAAAAGGACAAAAAGCACCAAAAACCACCAGCTGAAGCCAGAGCAATCACTCGCAGCCACTCTGCACCTGGCTCCATCCTGAAAGGCGGCTCAAACGGAGTCCCGCAGCTTCCCGTCCAACGCAAAACCGCCATACTCAACAAGGAAAACCGACTGAAGGGACGCTGTTCGCCGCCTCAGGATATCAGGGCTGAGAAGGCGCCACAGATAAAGGTTCTGGGGAGTCATCAGAGACAGAACACAGGACCGGCTACCGTTCAAACTGAGCCAAAACCCAGACAAATAAAACACCTGCTGGGGCAGGAGAAGGAGCAAAATGTAGGAATCCCAGTTCAGGCTGTGAGGAACAGTGGCTGTAATCTGCAGCCGAATCCTGTCACCAAACAGGTGGGTCTGATAGAAGGGCCAGGGAGGCCTGCAAGAGACGATGGGAAGGAGAAAAGTTCTGGTTCTGGAGTGGAATCAGCAGAAGTAGAAGCTGGACCTCCACAGGATTCCTTTGAGCTGTCGTTCCAGGAGAAGCTTCAGGGGTGGGAGTGCAAACGGCAGCTGGAAAGGATGGAGCTGGGAGAGTTTGAGCTGTTGGAGCAAGCGGCCGAGGAGCTGTCCTTCTCATCCAACTCCTCCTTTGTCATGAAGGTGCTCAATTCAAAACCCCGTTTGGTAAAAAAATCTGACACAGATTGTTTTTTTTCCTACAATGTTAGTTTATATGTTTTTTACATGTTGCAACAGTTCTTAACAAGAAACGTTTTGGTCAGTGTTTGGTTCTAGAATTCAGAAAATTAGTGTTAGATTTTTACAGTGTTTGAGATTTTATACAGTTAATACAAAGTAGAGCAGAGTTATTATGAGATTAAGCAGCGCAGGGTTTTCCTTCTTTTTGATTTTAAATGCTTTGTTAAATGTTTGCAGATATCCCAAAGCACAGCTCCGATTATATTTAAGCAACAATGTTTTAGGTTTTAAGTAAACATTTCATAAATTAAGTGTATTTACCCTTAATTTGAGTAGGTAAAATAAGATAATTAGATAATATGCACTTGAAAAAGGACAATGTAATTGTGTTTTCATGTTTTAAATGTAAATTTTCTTGTTCCATTGGCAAAATGTCTCTAACCTCCTCAATCCAAAAACAAATGCACTTATTTTAGGAAAAAAATGACTTATCTACATTTGGATTTTTTTCCAGTGCAGCTTTTTAAGCAAGTTGTGTACTTTGACTGGGTCTTTTCTAACATAAGCCCACAGCATTATGCTGCCACCACCATACCTCACAGAGTTTTTCAGGGTGACGTGCGGTGAAAGCTCTCAAAATAATATTTTTTTTCCATGTTTGCCGCGTTTCCTATAGAATTTGCTGCAAACATTTCTATGAACAGTTTTTCAGTCGGCAGAACTTCCCACTCGCATATTTATGGCTTCCTGTATTATTCTATACAAACTAGTTAATTAATAATGAATCGGTTTAATTGTGATTTAATAATCGATTAATCATTAACTGGAGTATAGAGACTAAAACAAAGCAACGGCCTCAGAGCAGTAGTTATTTACACCCACATTGTAAAAAAATGTATAAACATTTAGCATTTAAGATGAAAAACCTTTTTTGTCTGTGAATATGCTCCATCCAGAACTCCTTAAGTGGCTTAGTTTTAGTTTCACCTTGTTTAATTTCCGTATAAAGTCTTCTTTAAGGAACCTTTTCCCATCTGATTAATCAAATAATAATGGCCAGATTAATCAGTCAGCGAAATAATCGTTAGTTGCAGCTCTAATGCAACCTGGAGTTCCTGAGCCTCATGGGGCTCTTTGTTCCGTCTCAGAGGCTCTTATGTACGGCTGAAATGCTGCAGCTGTTTTTATGTGGTTGGTTTAATATCCACATAGATCCAGAGAACACTTTTTTCTTTTGTTCAATCAAACCTTAAACACTTCTGCATCTGCCCTAAATGTGGTATTTAACATTCAATATATTCTTTTTTTTTTTTTTCTGATTTAATCATATTAACTGATTTTCATATAAATTTCAAAACGTCCCTAACAGAGCACTTCACTATCAATCTGCAGGTTTACTAGTGGTTCCTAGAATTTCTAAAGTAGAATGGGAGGCAGATCTTTTAGTTATCAGGCTCCTCTCCTGTGGAACCAACCTCCAGCTTTAGTCTGTGAGGCAGACACCCTGTCTATCTATGTTTAACCTCTCAAGACCCATGTGAGAGGTTTGAGTTTTGAGAGTAACTCAGAATGCATGAAAATTCCACCAGTAAAATGTTTACCAATATAAACATGTTAGACATCATTGGGAAGCTTAGATTCTCCACAATTCAACCACTAAGTTCATTTTATGGACACAGCGAGCAACAAAGCACAATTAACACAGATATAGCGGCATGCCAAAATGTAAACATAACAAAGCAGCCACAGCTACATACCTTTGAAGGCATCCAGAAGCCAGTTTATAAATCCAATCTTCAATTTTTTATGCTCCATTTGTCGATAAGGGTCCACAGATTAAAAGTAATCCAGCATATTAGTAATAAAAATATTCCATGATGAGAAAATCGCCCATAGCATCAGGGTGTTGACATCAGAAAAGTCAGCTGGTCATAGCTTTTTCTCAGCATCTTGCTTATATTTAGTTGTAATACTTATTTCCTCGGTTATTAGCCCGCAATGTTTGATATGGTTCTTTACATCATCTTCTTATCTACAAGACACAAGTGTCTGCATATTTTTATGATGCGATTTGAGCCGGATATAGTCCCCGAAAACTCACTTCCGGTCACTTCCTGTCAGCCAGTGATGCGCAGTATTACACGTCATAATTTTCTGGAATTATTGGTTAAGACCACGTGGGCTGTTGGACTTTGTAGCCAATGAAATAAGGTTTTGAACAAGCATACATGTGCCTAGGGTATTTAAAGGGGTACCACATTACAGGCTTGTGTTAGAGAGACACAGACAGCTGCAGCTGGAGCCATGTGCACAGCTCAAAGGTGAATAATAGAAACAGTCCTATTTTTCCTAAGTTTGGACTCTGATGTTGTTTTATTACAATGATGCTTCTGTCTCCTTGAACCCCAGTCGGCCTCAGCAGATGGCCGCTCACACTGAGCCTGCTGGAGGTTTCTTCCTGTTAAAAGGGAGTTTTTCCTCTCCACTGTCGCTACAAGCATGCTTAGTGTGAGGGATTGCATTTGAGTCAATGAGTTGATGCAATCAACTGGTTTTCTTTAGATAGAAAACTTTAAACCAATCTGACAGTATGATCTGGTTGAACTGTGTCTCTAAAGTGCCTTGAGATGACATGTTGTGAATTTGCACTAAATAAATAAACTGAATTTAATTAAAAACCTAACTGAAAATAAATCATATAAAGCGAAAGAGTTCAAAGTCTTTACAGCAGACCAGCATTTTCAGCAGCCTGAGGCGGATGCTGTCTAGAAGTCTGGTGGACCTGCTTACTATAATGCTAAGGCTGCAACTGATTATATTAATAATCTGTCGATTTTTTTATTTATTTAATTGATTAATTAATCAGATAGTTAAAGTTTCCTTAAAGGAGATTTGATACAGAATTAAAAACTAAAACTTAGAAACTAAAACCTTTTCGACTAGTGGAGTTCTGGATAGAGCAGAGGTCTTCAACAGGGGATCCGTGACCTCTAGGGGTCCACAGTGGTACTGCATGGGGGTCCCGAAAGTTTTTGGATGATTAGAGTTTATTTTTTTATTCCCCCTGCAAGTTTTTCACTAATTGAAATGTCTTTTAATCCACATTAATATGAATTCAACATACTGTAGTAAACAGATAAATGGAGGCAGAAGATGTCTTTCAGTCATCAATGCTCACATTCAGCGACACGCAGGAGCTCTTTCAAGCTGGGCACCGTTTCATTCACAACACCACAAAACCAGCTGATTGCGTCCAGTCATTGCCTTGGGAGACGTCTCTCCTCATGTAGAGTCACTAAACATTAGCTTGCATTTTGTTTGTTGAATCTGAAGGAATCCCTCATGTCGAGCATGCATGCAGCGACAGTGGAGAGGCATACAAAAGGAACATAGAAAAGTCTATAATTACTTTCTATTAGAAAAGCTAACAGTAAACTAGCTCCATAGGTGGCGGCTCTCTCTAAGATAGAAACAGTTAAGCAGAGAATTTGTTAACTGGTTTTCATGTCGAAGGATGAACCATCACATAGAGAGAAACGGGACAAAATCCTGAATAACGGGCACAACTCTATCATCTATAATCAAAGGTGTTGATGTTTTTCTCCAGGACTCTGTCACAGCTGAACAGGAACAGACTACATGAAGCTACTATGATGAGAAAAAGTAGAGAGACCAGAACGTTAGAGATTTAACTGACAAATACTGCAGAATTGGAGAGCAGAGATAGAATAAAGCAGAATGATAAAAACTGGTCCCCATGTCATCCAGCATACTAAGCCTATAGCAGCATAAATATAGAGATAGCTAGATTTAA